GCATTGTTTTTATGTCTATGGTAGTAGTTCTTCTACGGGTTTTCTCAATAGCCTCTAATATACATATATTTATTTATATATCCATAAGGAGGCAATGCATTCATTATGTTGCCACAGCTAGTCTAGTTATCTCTTAGTTTATTGTCCCACGTTACTATTTAGAGACACAAGCAGTCATCGAATACCAGGAATATGATTCTTAATTTTCACTTTTCAAGATCTATTTGTTTCAGTAATCAATTCTCAAGCATGTTTTTTGTGTGCTCTAATAAGACGAGCTTATTAATATGGATCACTGCATCTTACTGGTGTAGTAAGATATTTTACACTTTGCAAGTATGCAAACGATGCATTTAAGTTTAAACTTGTGGCTGAAAAATGGGATGTGTGCCTGGTCCAATAGAATCTGCAACCAATTTTAACTTTTCGATGAATGATTACTTAAGTTGTTTGACCAAGTAGTTAAAGTTGCGTTCTTTTTCTAACATGTTGTTGGGTTTTCTAATACTTCCATTTTATGTGTTCACCGGCCTTTTGTACTATGTTACTATCATCTTTATTTAGCACCAAAAAACTACCCCGGCAAGAATTAACTGGACACGGTTTTACAGTTCGTCTACTTCTTGAGAAAATAAAATAAAACTGAACAGTATATATATTACAGCTATAAAACCTATTATTTTTCAACTGACATCGTATCTACGGTGATATGATTAAGCTTTTTTTTTCATTTGTGTACAGTGAAGTGACTATGTTCTTGATATTTGTGTAGGCACCGTTCCTTTCTCTTGATATGAATGCTCTTGCTGCACAACTTTCAAAAGCAAAGCTGTCGGAGAGGATTTTTGTAGAGCCGGATCTATTACCTAGAGAGCTGGTATTGGAATTTCTTACATTCAATTTTTACTAGCTGTTTGTTCGTCTTCGTTATATATTTGCTGATTCTGATAACAATTTGAAGATCAGAATACCATGCCGTCTCTATCTCTATAAATCGAACTGATTTATTTAGGTTTACGATTCTGTCGATAATTTCAAAGCATGTATATAGATTTGAATGTGCATCGTTAATCAGATAGTTTCTGTAATTATGATAAATTGACAATTGAACGAACCTCAAGACCATAATCTGTCTCATGGGCTGTAACAGTTGGGTTTCGGGTTTCTTGTTTTAGGCTTGCGAATTGCGATCGATCGACCTTCAAATTTACCTATTATTTCACTCATTAAGTACTATAACTGGTTGGAGGCTTCATAGGAGGAAACCTGTTTTTCGCTTATCTTCTGTCCGAAGTTGTGATATGTTGATTGAAGTTGTGATTTGTTGATTGAGTTACATCTAAATGGAATGAAAATTGCGTGACAGCCTGTCAACGGAAAAATGAAACGAAAGAAAGAAAGTTGATTCTATCTTACTTGGAAAACCACAATACTTTCAAATGTGTTTGTCATTTTAGATTCTATTCTATGTAAAAAATTGTCTATGTTGAAGTTTAACGAGACGAATCTATAAACTTGTTGCAGTTGGACGATGATTTACACGCATGCGTTGAAGATAAACACAATCCTCAAACTTGTACATCTTCAGCCGAAACAGTTTCCAGAGCCTCATCCATCAGTCGTAATCAAGAAGTCGCTGAGGATGTCAAACAATACCACAAACCTGATGAAAGATCGAAGAAACCTACGAAGCAAACAAAGTACGAGATTTCGCAGTCACAGAAAACCAACAGCATAACCGAAAAAATAGTAGATTCGTCGAAGCCAAGTGTATTTGAAGCAGCAAATGCTGAGTTGGAACTCGATATGCTTCTCGAGTCGCTGAGTGGATCATCGGTTGGAATTCATCGTCGGGTGAAACGGTGAAAAGATCAGGAACACATATGGTGACTGATATTGTTAATGATATCGATAACCTACTTGAGGAAACCTCTAGTCTTACTCGAAAAAACGGGAACCCAACCTCAAAGTCAAAAGTTGTTGATGATTTTGCCTCGTGGTTGGATACCATTTAATTTTCGTAAAGATTGCGAACATGCAACTTCGTGTCGTCTGAAAAAGAAAAAAAAATGGGTTTTTTCGGTGCCCATTGTAGTTAATGATGTTTCTGCAGAGTGCAGATATATAATGTATGAAAACCGAAAAAATTGCTGATGCATTCTTTTTCGAATCTGTTGTTCTATCGCGCAAAGAGTGATGGCTTGGTTCGAACAACCAACTTAGACTTATAATGCAGACCCAATATTCACGAACCAATTATGAATTTTGATACTGTAAAATTCATTACCATTGCCCGGCAAAAAAAATTGATATACCAAAACCTCGGTATGGACTATAGTATAGTATAGTAGTGGTTATTATAAATTTATAATTACAAAAATATAAAATATATATTAAAAAAAAAAAAAAAAGTAGTGGTTATTAACTTATTATCAATTTACCTTAGATTATTATTTTGATGAGAATTGATTATTATTTTCTTAAAGCAATTCAAAACATGTTAAGACATAACTATTCCTAATATATATGTTATAAACTTAGCTCAATAAAAAAATTCTAATAAGATTAGGGCACTTTACAAATAAGTCCATCAATAGGTACTTATTCATAATTGGTCAAGATAAAAAACTTTTTTACAAAAAAGTCCACACATTCTCCAGATATTTGTAAAGACTAAAATAGCCCCTCACATTTTAATATATTCCAACTTCATCATTTAATTTAATTTAACCTCAATTTGACCCCAAAATACAATTTTGAGTACAATTTCGTCCATCACCGCCGTTGACCGCTGGTCTCCGGCGTTGACTTTTTCGATTTTTTTTTTTAATTTAATTTAAATTTTTTTATTTTCTTTAACATCTTTTTGCCCTCGTTTAAACAGCAATATTGTTGTGGTTGACAGTAATATTAACTATACTACAGTTTAACACAGTAATATTGTTATATTAATCTCTAGCACAGTAATATTAACACAACAAAAGTCATTATTATTGTGTAATAGAGTAATATTAATATGTTGGTTGTTCGACAAAGATAAACATAATGAAAAGCCAAAAGAATTAATATTGATGTGATTGACTGTAATATTACTGTAACAACAGTAATATTACCGTCAACCACAGTAATATTATTGTGTTTACAGTAACATTACAATAGTAGACAGTAATATTATTACGTTACTCCGTCAACAACTCAAACAAAACAAAAAACCGAAAAAAATAATAATATTAGTGTGGTTAACAGTAATATTATTGTGTTTACAATTATTTTACTGTGAATGACAGCAATATAATTACGTTGACTTGTCAACAAATCAAACAAAATTTAATATATAAAAAAAAAAAAAAAAAACCAAAAAAACCAAAAAAAAAAAAATAATAATATTGTCGCTAACTCTAATTGTACCGTCAATGACAGTACATTTACGTAAATGTACTGTCAGCGACAGTACAATTACGTTAATGTACTGTCAACGACAGTATAGTTATGTTAATGTACTGTCAGTGGCAGTATAATTACTGTTAATGACAGTACAATTGCGGTCAACGTTTAGCGACAGGCGTAAAAAAACGGATAAAAATTTTAAGAAAAAAAAAAAAGAGAAACCGGCGGCGGAAAAAACCGACCCGAAAAAAAAAATATCGAAAAGTCAACGCCGGAGACCGGCGGCAAAAAAATAATTTCAGAAAAAAAAGTTTAAAAAAAAGCCAAAATTGAATTTTTGTGGTCAAAATTGATTAAATTGGGGTTACAATTAAGAATTAGGTGTAAATGGTTGGGGTAATTTTATCATATACATTCATTTTTCCTTTATAGGGATGAGCTTATTGGATAAATAGATATAGCCCCTGAACCTAAAATAATAAAGATGATTGGTCATGAACTTACACACAAAAACCACATAAATTATGACATAAATTTATATTATCAATGATCACTACTAAAATTTACAACCAATTTTAACAAATAATAGTTACTATGTATACTATCTTATCTCATTAAATAAAATAAATTTAGGGGAAATATGAAATACACACCTCATTTTGGAAATATTTTGAACTAACCCTAATTGACTTTAAAGACTTTTCTCACTCAAATTTTATTTTTAAATAGGGAGACCCCCTTGGAATTGTTATATACCTATTATACCCTTTCATACAAACCCTAGCCCACCCACACTTTTTAACGTGATGCAATTTTCATTTCTTTCTTTCTTTTGATCGCTCTTTCGTTCTTTGGATCGCTCTTTCGTTCTCTCCCTCACAAATACTCTCTTCATTTTTCTCAGATCTGTAACCACCGTCGTCGCCTTCCTTCATTTTTTTCACTCCACCGTTGTAATCTGCTCAGCCCAGCCACAGACCACAATCGTCACTTAGGGTTCTGCCGTCACGCCTCGCTACAATATCGAATCTCCCCAAGACCACCTGTCGCCGCCTCCCATACACCACCCGTTGTCCGACTGATGCACGAGGGAGAACGGTGATCAGAATTATGGGCCCCTAGCGTCGCAAACCCTATCTCTCTCGTCTCGATCTCACGCGATGTCAGCGACGAGAGGCTGACTATGGTGTCCGGGGAAGCGGTGCAAATCGGCGAGCAGTGGAGAAGCGGTAATTGTGCGGGAGGCGATGAAGGAGGTTGGGACAGGGAGATTCAGTTCTGAGGGGGCAACCGTTGTTTGTTGAGTCCTCTGCGCCGCCCCCGAGTTCAATATTTTTTTCTCTATTCCTTTATCTTCTCTCGATCTCAGTCTGTTTTCAGGTGTAAACTAAGTTGCATCAAAACAAGTCGATGATATTGAAGATCGGTAAACAACATGCCAATTGGAGAGAATCAACTTTGTAGTCATAAATAGTTATACGTACTCGTACATAGCCATATATATAAGATATGTATGTTTTTCTTTCTAAAATACAGTGATGCTGGTGGTTTTTATTAATTGAAAAATGATACATGTGACTTTTTGGATCTATTTGCGTAGTTACAAGTTGATTTGTAATAACAAAAAAAAGACAAATTGTGATGAGCTGAAGACCTAAAGAGCTCTCTGACGAGCTGAGCTCTCCAACGAGCTAGAGACCTAGGAAGCTCTCTCACGAGATGAGCTCTCTCATGAGCTGATTTCTTTGACGAGTTGAGCTCTCCGACGAGCTGAGGAACTGTACACCAAAGTGATAGGTACGCTTTGACCACTTTGACCATAGGTTTCGTCTTCCTCTTATACATATGTTATTCTTCTTCAACAAAGAGGTATATTCACTATTTCCTCTTACAATATTTTATCTCTACAATATTTGTCTATGATTCTTGAAGATCTTCTAACTTGGGCTTCGGAGTACTAACGCCAGGGGCACCATCTCTGGCCCATTTTGCAGGTCCAAGATGTATAGGCTCAAGGTGGAATTGCTTCAAAAAATCTCTAATTCTTGAGGTAGTCCAAAAGGGCTACATCAACTGGCGTCGTCTGTAGGAAAAGAATCGAGTTAAGGCGTAAGTAGATCTGATTTTATAGAGGATGAGGAGGAAATGAGATGTTTGTTGTTACATATCTGGTAAATATTCGCAGATTTGAAAATATTTGCAAGTCTTGAAAGAAATCAACAAGAGAAATAATTCAAGATCTTGAGCCGATGTTCCAAATCTCATGAATCGACAGCAACTCAAGAAGATACATATCTGAGAAAATATACTCAAGTATCTCTACAGTAATTGCCTTTTTGATTTGATGGGAGAAAGGGCTGATAGTCGAAGTAATTTGCAAAGAGGAGGAGTTACGAAGATGTTATTTAGAGGGAGTTCAGGAGGCAGGAATAATAAACAAAATTTTGCGCCAACAATTTTCCACTTTGATATAAATTGGTCAGAATTTCATGTTAACAAGAACTTCCCCTGTAGGTAACATAACCCCCCTGCAACACACACTGTTAGAACAATGAAGTTGCATATTTGAATGTTGTAACAATAAATTCCTGCAACACATAGTTATCAAAATAAGCATAAGGCAGAAGATAGCAGGTAACCAAAATGATATCCTAAAGACAGGAAAATAATCATAACTATAAAAATCCAAAATAAAGACATAAATTAAAGCAGCTCAAAAATGACAAAAAAATGTTTTTTTAAGAAATCTTCCTCAATAATTATAGCGGGAGAACAGATCATCATCATGAGGACTGTTGGATTTTGTGGGGTCTCTTTGTCTTTACATTTGTCCTTGCAGTTCTGGACTGCTACTTCTTCATTCAAGTTTTTTCCTTGCGTGTGCCAGTTTGTGTTGGGCATCTGGAGTTGTTGCTACTCCCTCTTTATGACCAAACCGTACCAAAGTTGCAAATTGTTCATATATGGTTACGAGAACAGTTGTAATGCTCACCTGAAATTTTGTGAAGTCCTCGTTGACACACCAGTTTTATGAGCAACAGTATAGGACATAGGAGCAGTGTCATGAAGTGAACCATTTTTCGCCTTGGGAGCAACCTGGATAACAGAAAAATCCTCTTCTGGAGAATCATCAAAATGTTCGACCAGTACCTTAGGATGAATAGTGATTGGTCGTTCAGGCATAGCAGCTGAGTTTATCTCTAAAAAAAAACTGTTGTGACAGTAATTGATAGATGAGAAAGGAAAAAGGCAACATCAACTTTATGTGCGAGAATTAGCAAGAGATGTATTCCCCAATGTTGATAAAAAGATCATGAGTGATGCTTCAGAGAAACTCAGCCTGAGGTTTGTGCATAAATGCATTATGAGTGGTTGGACACCAAGTGAAACTGTCCAGTTTTGAAGAGCCAAAGTACAACTGGGTGAGCTTGGACGTGAAGAACCGAGTCTTTGGGCTCGGTCATTTTTAAACACACCTGCAGTAACATAGAACTACATGTTAATTTTATTAAATAAAAGATTTTGTTGACAAATCACATATAATACTATATATAATTTAACGGATTTAATACAACTCTAATCTTACATACCGAACATCATACTAACTAAATAATTAATTGGTCAATAGGGAATTAATCCAATATAATCTAATCTAAACTTATCCGATACAGGTAGTAGCCATACGAACTTTAGTTATATTTCCGGTCTTGACACATTAAAGTATTTAATTATAAAAAAGAGTATCTCCAAATGAAAATATATAGGATTGGTATTTTAAGAGCCTTATTCTGCAAAATCAGATTTTTTTTCGTACTAGATCAAATTATAATAATAAGGCGGCGACTATTCAAAATCCCAGAAATTGCTTAGGGGAAGACCAAATCTAATTTTCCACCAAAGGAATTACTAAAAAACTATTATGCGTTTACTAAAATAAAAGACACACAATCACAAAACTCCACAAATTCCTTTGTGCAAGACCACACCACCCAAACCAACTCTTCTCTTCTTCACAAACTCATTTCACACATCTTCTCCAAAAAAATCTCCTTCATCTTCTCCTAAAACCCTAAACACCCAAAGCCCTCAAATCCTACCAATACTTGCAAAGGCGGAGGACATTATGGACTCACAAGACATCAATATGGAGAATTCTATTGGGAAAGAAAAAAAAACTATGTATTAATGTATTTTTATAGCTAGGTTTTCAAGTTTTTTGAGTTTTCAAAAAAACAGAAAATAACCGCGCAGACAAAGTCAACATATACGATCAATTTTAGTCAGAAAAATTGACATGTAGATGTTGATTTTCTGGCAAAAAAATGACTTCATTATCCTGATATCGATTTTTTGGCAAAAAAATCAAACATCTTCATCTCCTTCTCCTCCTTCCAACTCCGCGGTAGGCCGCCACGGTTCTTTTCTCCTCTTCTGCATTTCTCTCCCTCTCTTTTTAAATATTTTTCTTTTCGGTTATTCTTCTTTTTGTTTCGCACCAAGTATTTGATAAGTATTTGAGGTGATATTGAAATGGGGTTATATTAGTAATTTTGGGTTTTTATCTCGATAAGTTCATTCATTTTTTGGTCTTCCCCTAAGCAACTTTGGGATTCTTAATAGCGACAGACTACAAATGATAGAGTATGCTGATGAAAATCTCTACTTAAAACATTGAGAGTGTAAACATACAGATGTGTTATGTATCCATTCATCATCATCAAAACAGAGAAAATAAGCAGAGCATCATAGTATATTGCCATTCGCATCCGTACATGAACTCCCTAAATTACGAAAAAGGAAGAATTTACTGTCAGCACAATCAGAGCTCCATTTCCATGGCATTCAAACATTCCGAGATATTTTTCTAATCCACTTTTAATCATCATCCATCTATTAACTCTCGGTCCAACAAAACAACCTAAATAAATTAGAGCCGTCAATCAACTCTCTTCTTTGTAGTCTGGATTCTCTTTTAAGATGACGAATCCCTCGAGAATTGGTGATACGGGTATATATCTGCAAAAGACACAAATATTAATTTAATTTTTGTTTTTTGAATAATGAAAATATTGAATAAAGAGAATATGGTATATATGTATCTTCTTACTTGTCGGTCGCAAGCTCTGCTCTATCACCAGCAGCCAAAAGAACAGGAGTTGAGTGTGTCTGGAAACCCGTAATGGTCTTGGGTCGACCCGCTTGACCAACTACGTCAACTGCTTGACCCACACGAACCGGTACTGACAGAGGTTTCAGGTTTTCGTCTACTGTCATCAACATTCTTGGCTGTCAAGATAGAAAATAGATGCACACATTTGTCAGCATAAAATGGCATATAGGAAAATTGACAAATTGGAACGAAAAACATAAATCAGAAAAATTTAAAAATGGGATATATATATATATATATATATATATATATATATATATATATATATATATATATATATATATATATATATATAATTGCGCTCACCTGCATGGCCAGTGTAAGGAAATATAGAACATAATGATATTTCCCCCAAAATGATAGCTTTCATGCCAAGACATGCGTGCAGCATAACCCCAAGCCCAGCAAGGGCAGTCCTGGAAATTATAAAATCAAGGGGGTCAAGATTGGGCTTCATACAGTAATAACAAAATTGCAAGGAAAAAACATCTTTTACATACACATAATACACATATGTATAAGAAATCCTTATATTGAGAAAAAAAAAAAAAAAAAAAAAAAACCAAGTCAAATTTGGAATGATGTATAAAGTACACGTTTTATTGGATAACTTACGGGGACAAAAGAGAGCGTTCAGAATGGTATGGAGAAAGTGTCAATAATCCTTTGCCGAGATGGACAAGACCTTGAGCAATTCGCACCTGCACAAATTACAAAATCACATTTTAGATTCTATACAAAATCTTGCAATTGAAAAATTGCATAGTTTGCGCCAATAGTCTAATTGAACCCATACACAAAAAAGAAGGCTGGCATCTTTGTAATAATAGCTTGACAGGTTGCGAAGCATTCCAGCTATTCTGGCGTTGTTGGTTCCAGAACCTATCAAACCCAACGAAATGATGGCAGCCTGCGCGTTTCAAAATGTACGTACATAAGTAACAGTTAATCCAATTTTACTCGGGAAAAAAAAAAAAGAAAAAGAAATTCATTTGAAAAGAAGATAGTAGCCAGCAAATATTTATATTACCATTGCAACTTCGGAGTCTGCATCGTGGCTGAGCCTGCTTAACGTGTCCATGACATTGACCTGTTTAGCCCACCAAATTTTATTATCAAGAAAGTTAATTAAGGACAAGAATATAAATAAGTACAAACAAATTGAGCCCTTCCCCAAGCAATCTCGAATTAAATTGGATCTCACTATTGCAAAAAACAACACTTTTATAGAGGTTTCCATGTATTCCAAATAAACCAATGGTAATACGAACTGCGCACATCAGGTAATAAATAGATTACCTTTGGGTTTGATATGCAAAGTAGACCAAGAGCCAAAGGCACAGCCCTTCTAATGTTCTGCTCTCCATACTGCAAAAGATGCTCCAACGAACGAATAGCCATCTCAAGACCCAAATCCTCTGCCATTGCTACCATAGCAATTCCAAGAACAGCTTGTCCTTGATATGCTTCACCCTTATCAAGATGCTGTGCACACTGACCGAGGAAGTGTTGAACCTGTGACAGAGAAAAGGAAATTAGCAATAAAATCAACATAGAAAATAAGTTTCATAGCTGAACGAAATCTAATGCTTTATAACCTTTAGAACATTTCCTGTCCCGGCATATGCACAAGCTAGGAGGGTCATGTCACAGTGTTTTCTAATTTTTTCGTTAAATGTCTTTGAAACTTCGGCTGTAGCTTCTACACTATCCTGTCAAAGATGGAGATGAAGTATTAGTACGATATAGATGGAGCATCAACCTCTATTAAATGAAATGCTGTGATTATATTTTACTAGTAATTTTGAAAAACTTCTGACAAAGCATAATAGATATAGGGGACTTAGATTAATTTTTCTGCTAATATTAATACCGGTGATTAAACTTGTTAAAATTGGAACCCAAATAGATTGATGAAATACAAGAAAATATCTGAAAAGTTCAGAATAGGATAAGAACCAAACCTGCTTCCCAAGGTAAAGCAGACCAAGACCTAAAGGCAAGAAACGAGCTAAGGGGTCTCCCAGTTCTGCCTCACTTCGATCCATCAATGCAATTATGATTGCCTGAGCTATATCTTCATTACAAGAACCCACAAATACCAAGCCTAGAGAGATTGCAGTAAATGCAATTACATCTAAGGATGACTTTCCATCTCCAAGAATTTGCATTAATAAAACCCGAACCTGAGAATATCACAAAGCTTGTCAGGTCTAGGCAACTCAAGGTACACCAGAGTCGGGTAAATCCAAAAGAATGGAACAACATTGAGAACATCTAATTTGTTTAGGAAACTCACATGTTCATTCTGAGCACCCGCATATGCAAGACCTAAGCCCATTATTGCACCTATTTTAATTGCAGAATCGTCTTTATCCACATATTCTGCCAAAAGAGCCAATGCCTGAGAAGAAAAAAAAACTCTAGATGTCAAGGAAACTCGTTCGCTCAGCATACAATGCAGTTGCAGAATAACTACAAGTGAATATGTGAACATCGTTTTTAAAACTTCTACTTTGTTCTTTTATGCAAAAGAATTGGGACGAGGGGTTAAAATTCAAAAAAATGACTTACAGGATCACACTCATTCTGGACATTGCAGTTTACAATCCCGACTCCTAGTAATGCGCCAGCAACGACATGGGTGTCTGTGCTATGGAAATATTTGTCAAGTTGAGCAAGTCCAGAATCAACATCCCACAGCAGAATCATGCCCTACAACCATGATAGTCAATCAGGAGTTTAAGTTAATTTGAGATAGCTTGATAAATCGTTATAATCAAATCAAATAGTAAACTTGTAGGGTTCTATGAATCTCATAGATAGCATGTCAAACGTTATATGTTTCAACATATATAAAACATTTTCTAACAAAAATAAAACATGTTCTACCATGAGTAAAATGATTCCCGACATAAATAGAATATTCAAATTAAAGAAAACTAATACACTAGTTATGTCTGCAAAATTGACATTAGAATTCGATCAGTGTTACTAGAGTTTAGTCTTCCTCAGATTTCACAATCGGTGCAGAAAATACTTGTGCAGGCCTGAAGGGCAAAAAAACATTTAGTTGACTGAAAATGGATGGGCTTTACTTGGCCTACACTTGTTTTGGATACCAACAATTGGGTCTGGCACAAAAAAAAAAAACCCAATCCTAACTCGATTCTGGTCCAAAAGTAGAATCGTTAAATGGTCCAAAAACATAATCATCAACATTGTAGTAAAATATTAGATTTGACAAATCCTAATGACTCCCAATCATGAAGGATTTTGCTTGGGTTAGAATTCTACTAGGATTTTACAAGGCAGAGGGTAGTACAACCGAAAATCGCTAGGATTTTAATCAGGATTTTGACTACCATTCCTACAGCAGTTAAAACACAATAATAAACAAAACAATTGGAAGAATAACTAATAAAATGAAATAAATAGCATCAGTACACACCAGACTTGCTGCGGCACTGGCCTTGCCATGTTCCTTGTTTTTAAAGAGCCAGCTCGAAGAAGAACCACCACTAGATACTTCAGATGGAACTGTCATCAGCTTATCCTGAACATTTAAAAATGACGCCTTATAAGAATAAGCGAAAGAGAAGACCTGGATTTTTCACACTCAAAACTGAACAAAACATGGCTATTCAAACCTGACCAAAACCAGCATTTACAAACGCGTTCACAAATGTCGCTGCCAAGTTCTGCCTGGCAGAATCAACAGCACTTCCACCACTACCACGGCCATCAAGTAAATGTGCCTAAAAATACAGATGCCATTTCAGCATTGTTATTATGTTTGATAGGTAGAAAGGAAATACTAAGAATATAAGGCAGTCAATATACTAGTAACAGAATAAACCAGTCCAGCTTCAAACTCGGATAAAAGATTTTAATGATCTCAGAGAAATAGATGCAAGATGGAACAAGTCCATCCCAATCAGAACAATAGGGAATGTTAAAAGAGAACAAGACCTTGTATATATCCTCAGGAGATTTGGGCTCCATAACTTCAATATCACGAGCAAGTGTAAGGTAGCCTTCGTTCAACTTATTATTGTTGATGATATCTTGAAAAGCCTCCCTTTCTTCATCTTCCGGAAATGTTTCGTCATCAAGTTCGAAAGGAACTCCCTGTATAAGAACAAGGCCATAATCACATTGCAAGCTAATAATAAAGAAGATGGGACTAAAAAATTGAAAAGTTTATTGTGCCAGATACTGAAATGCTCAGTCTCCTAATAAATCACTTCAACCGAGATAATGTTTGAACTAAACAAGTCTGTAGCACAGTGTAGCATCTGGTTGTCAAGGACATCACATGTATCCTTAGTACAATAAACCACTAGAACTAGTTTGGACAACGATTTGAAACGGATGATAGTACGATAGTGCTCATCTGATATTAAATAGTCAAATTTATGCATCTTAGCTAATCTATAATGAAATTTAAGTACTACTACTGCAGGACTCAAATGATTCACTAATTTTAAGCGTTCAACCAGGGTATAACATACTAAAGTAGTAGAATTCTTTCTACATAATGTGATTGAATGTCTAAAACTTTTTAGTAAAAGATATGCATTGGCACGTTTGAGCCTCCTATCAAGAAAGCTTTCCTTATACGGTCTAATCCAAAACCAGTCATCCAAGCTGACAAAAAAGAGGCTAACCTCTATCAGTACACCCTACCTTAACAGAGGGTATAGCCCACCCACAGAGTAAAAAAAAAGTAAATAAAAAATGGAAATGAGGGAGATAAAGACAATTGATACAGAAGGCAAAATTCCGGACAACTTACGTGGCGAGCCAGGATAAAGCAAAATTGCTGCCTCTTTTGACGATCCTTACATATCTTGAAAAGTTCTTTCACATACTGCAAAAGAATAACCAGAAATCAGATTTTGAGGCAGAAATCTGCTATAGTCTTGTCCAGTGGATGAGGCACGTAGTGCTTAATACTCGGTGTGGATTACTTCATAAGCAAGAAATGTTAACAAATTTAAGACCACCGACAAAAGCATCTCATAAGCACCTTAAGTACAAACCTGAAAATTATCAAGATACAATGCAATCTGCAGTGCTCTTGGATATTCATTGAATTTCATATAGATTGAATGTGCAATGTCCAGAACTAACATGTCATCTGGTCCAGGAAGGTATCTGATATTGTTCATATGCAACAGAAAAGGTTAAAAACAAACAATGGTGCAATTTTATCAAGAGGTAGAGACAGAACAAATACGGTCAAAGATGGCCACTTAATTATGCATTTCAACTGCAGATCAATTTCAACAGCAGCATATAGATTCTCTGTATGAAAACTTGTCATATTTAAACTGAGGGGCAATATACATCAAAACACTTGCGCGTTTTACTCCATAACGAGTGGGAAGCTCATGATTCTCCTCTAAAATGGTGTATTATAAGATGTTAATACCGGTACAACATGTTCAAACCAGAATAATATCTTATAAATGTAATGCATTACTTATCCATCAAGTCAACCTTGTACAGGGAATAGAATTTAGGACATATATTGGCAGGGTGTGTCATTCTAGTTTTGTTGGAATATAAAGCATAACTGAAAACATCCATCAGCAAGAGTTGATTGCTCAACAGAATGAATGTTCTCATGCCATCACCACTTCATCACCATTCTTAAATATACAGCTATATATTTACGTATACATATTACAACAAAATAAAAGATCAAAGATCACCTACAAAATTAAGAATCTACTTACTTTGCTGAACTTGTAAGATATAAACATGTCCTTTTATAATTTGTACTATCCACATGCTCCACCAACAGATCAAGGTCTTCAACCTGGATAATAAAGGCAAGAAAATATACATTTATATACTCTCTCCGATATATGATTCTTGCAGTAGAACACTAAGGAGGTCGAATTGAAAGGGTGGCTACAATACCTCCATAAGAAGATCTACCGCCTCCGGCTCAGCATTATGCTGCAAATTCACAAAATTGCTTAGATTTCTGTCCAAAATTGAAAAGTGAATGGAAATGCTTCAAATAGTAGGAACTCATTGCTGTGGTATCTTACTGTATTTTATGATGTCTTATATTCCAACACCATATGCACTTCCATGTTCTACATAATATAGACATTCTTGACCAGAATAAAAGAGAAACATACCTTCATATGAAATGCAACAATTTGCACCACCAGGTCCATCAGATCATCAATTGGGCCTTCTTCACTCTGAAAAAAAATCACAGTGAATATTAAGAAGCTATTACAAAGCCCCCAGCTGACATATTCAATGCTATTCTCCAGTTAACAGGAAAAGAGTAAAATTTTCAATTCTAACAATTAACGTTCTCTGGGTAAAATAGCATATCTGCGCACAAGTCACTAATCAATGTAGCAAAGAATTTAGGATAGTTTTGGCTTGCTTTCAGAGGGAAATTTTGTTAAAATGTGGATATGTAAATTGAGATAGAACTACTGAAATGTTTAGAAACAATATAAAACAATTCAGAAGTCTAAAGAGCTACTCTGGTAATTTAATGAAATGCATAGTAGAACTAAGCTATACTACAATTATCATTTAAATTTTTTCAGCTTATTTTGATCCTTTTTATATCTTCTTCCTGTATATTTCTCAATTATTCAAAATGTCAATTACCTTAACAATCTACTGCTACCCCCCTATTCAACTACCAGAGTGCTCACAAACATGTCTTTGTGACACAGACACTTTAAATCAGTTAAAAAACGACAGCAAACCGAAACTAGCTACCTCGAAAACAAACAGATTTAATATTCCAAAGAGAGAAGGAACAAAATATATAAATAAAATCAACGCAGGCATTTATTTCATATTCAGATGAGCCTGTATATTGTTGAAACTCTACATTACATTTAAAAAAGAAATATTGTAACTGAAAATGATTTAAGAATTTTGAACTAGCTGAGGTTTAGTGATTGTTTCGAAACTACTCAATCTAATTTGCAATCAATTTTAACAAGTGATTAAATGTTTGAAATGCCTAAAATACAGTAAGCTGAACGGATGTCAATCAACTTCTGCAAGCAACTTAATTAAATCCATGCATATGCTTCAGACACACAAATTCTAACCTGTCGTTTTGCATACTCTTGAGAAATTTCCCCAGCCAAGTTCCTGCATTATAAATCAAACAACCCCAAAAGAACTTCATGTTAAACTTAATTTCAAGGTTTTCAGACAATGTTCAACAATATGAACCCTGAGCTACAAAGAATTATCAGTTCTTGCCGAAAACATGTTTTGCGTAACAACATAACAAATATTTCTCAATCATTCTCAGTACGATATGGTTATTGTTATATTGGATCTTCCTTGAAAAGAATATCCATATAATCATTCCATAACAGCAAAAATAAGGGATGGTGAACCTTCACTTTAAGATAGATGACAATGTGTCATATTTCTAGTAAGAACCCATGAAACCTTTAAACACGCAATAAGGTAATTCACATTTCAGTACTCCAAATACAGCTTAGTTTGACAGTAAGCAATGAGCATCATGAAGGAAAAACAACAAAAATGAAACACCTAAGAACTTTTCCGCTAGAATGAACATATAACCAACTCAAATAATGATGTAAAATATTGATCCTCACCTGACATATTCATGACCCCAAGAGCCAATATCACCATCTGAACCAAGTAATCTGTATTTCAAGCTCTCCTGAAATTATTGACATTTGGACTAATGACTGTAAGCATAATTCTTACCAAATAAAAGTTCTGAAAAGAAGAAAGTGCTATTGAAATAAGATCAAGTTTAACAACACACACACACACACACACACATGTGTGTGTGTGTGTGCGCGCAAGAGAACAAATATTATGAACAAAAACAAATATTTGATGTTCTAGTTGTAATGCTGTGAAATCATATCACCATGGGCAACAAGTGTGAGAAGAAAACCTAATTTTCATTGGACTAGAATAAGTTAAATAAAAGATAAATAAGAACTAAGAGTAGATTTTACTAAATTAAGTCATGTTTATAGAATCTAAATCTAAATTGAACTACGGGTTGTTCACTCATTTGTATACATGCTGTTGGGTTCCGGTGCAAAATAATTGATCGTGAAATAACTATCAAATTTTAGTTAAACACAAATTGTTACATCAAAAACTCAGCTTATGACTGTACGTGTGACAAGCAAATGTAGATAGCTGAATGGTGCAGCTCGGTAGGGTGAAATGCATAAAATAGGTTAGTCAAACTTCTTGCTTATGCTTATTATATTAGATAGTTCATAAAATTACACTAGTAAACAAGATATGGCATTAACAAGCAATCACTATGATGCTGGAAAAAGGACTGCAAACTGTATGCTAAATTATCGAGTAAAAAAGTACAGCTTACCCTTTCTCCTTCAGGGGACATCGTCAAGGCCAAAACAGAAAGAATATCTGCAAGCAGTTTCTGAGAGGAGTAGGGGTGGGAGAAGAATTGTAAGTGAAATAATTCGTATGGAAGAGTTCAAAACTACGGAAAATCAGCGAATAAATAACAAACACGAAAATAATCACCTTTAAATCGGAATCAACCATGTTCTCGTAATGTGCTTGTAGAGTTCCATAATGAGGACGCAAGAACTTCAGTGGCTTCGGAACCGAGGTCATAGAGCTGGTTGCCATACGAATTTCTTGCCTAAAGAAGTAAACCAAAAGAAAAAACAATAAGTACCTAACATAGCTTGTTTCTTTATTTGTAAAAAACAAAGAACTGTAACAAAACTTGGAAAGTTGTTGAGCCAAGTAGAATGCTACAAATTTGAAGAGCCTTTTGTATAGCATGACAAATGCACAGAGAATAAAGTCGAGATCACTTGATATAGCAATCAAGATTGAAGTATAATTTCAGAAAAAACAAACATAACAAAAAGATGGCAAAATACTAATGTAACTAGATTTGAACAACATATATTACAAACGCTCTTCTATTATAACCCCCCTCCCCACAAAATATGTTAATTACTACATGATTTTGATTACTTTCATTCTCAAGGAATGATGATCTTGCATCAATTCTACATCAAATAAAGCAAACAAAAGCAACAGATAGCACCAATTATCAGTGTTAGGGATGTGGTCCACTTCAGCTTGATTACACAAATAAACTAGTGCTTTTTTATGATGAAGACACTATCAGTCAGTCCAACAAAATCTTTATACTTGGAAGGTGAGGCATATTTTGGGTCAAAACTCAAAGGGATTGCGCTTATGGTAATTTAAGGGTCTTGCTAACTCATCTTTGATATCAAATTTCAGCAGCCATCTTTCTCAAGTCCCACGATATTTCTAGTATATACTATATGAAGTGCATACTATAGCAATTAGTAATATTGGATTAGCATACAACATATTGTAGTTACTAAATTAGTTCCTATATGTGCTCGGGAAAGAGTTTTCTTTCAGTACAACAATGTAACTATTTTCCCGAAAACAGCATTTGGACATGTATTTTAAAATCAATACATTATGCATCCAGTAAACACTTCAAAAATTACAACTATTTTCTCAATGCAAATACACATCCGACCGAAAACCTAGAGCTAAAAAGAATCTGTAGTTACGTTTCCGACAAATTAAATCAAGCGTCACTTTACGATTTTAGAATTACTAAAACTGATAACACACCTCATGCTTTCTAGGGCAACTTTCTGCAGTCCAGGATCTGGGTCTTGTACCCTCTCAACGTACAACTCCAACTGCTGCTTCAATGCCAAATCCTCCTCTGACTATAAAACACAAAACAAACGAACATAGCACCAAATACATTACTTACACGCTTCAAAATTTACAAATTAATAATCAAAAACACTGTTTACGAAGTATTGAGTAACAATTTTAAAACTTACGAGATCTTCATCCTTCTTATCGTCCTTCTTTTTAGGGTCCTTGGAAGGAACCTTCACCGGCGCTGGGTCTTTAGTAGCGGCGGCGCCGCCGCTGCTGTTGGGTTCCGCCGGTGCCATGTGTAAACAAATTGGAAGCTAAAACCCTAGAACTGGTAATCAATCGGACAGCCGATTCAAACAATTTCAAAAGCAAAATTCAAATCGCGGATTCCTGGAGGTGAACAGGGCAAAATCAAAACTTGTGTAGGGATGGATGCAAATACTTAGAGGCTCGATTTATGGAAGAAGAAGGGCAGAAATAAATAGAATAGATTTCCTTTTCGCCAAGCAAAGACGGTATATAGATGTACTTTTACTCATACTGTGATACATACAAAAATATAGGCTCCTATGGGCCGGCCCAAATTGTGAATTAGACCCGGCCCAATAACCCATCCTAATAACTGAATGATTTGTGCAGGCACTGTTTAATCGTGCAGGCACTTTTTTTACCATTCTTCAAAAATCAAAAGGTAAATCTTCTCACAAACTTTTTCTAACTTTTGGAGTTCGATTTCCGATCCCAATCGAGATGCAGATCGAAGTTAATTTCTACATTTTTTTATTGTTTCGTTACGTAGATTATGATTATTGAATTTTTTTTTTTAAACGAAGCATCTGGTAGTACTCGCGTGATTCTACACAAGTACAGTGGAGTTACTCGTGCAGAACCATGCAAGCAGATGAATGTATGTTTTTTTTTGTGTAATTGAGAATACGTATGTTTTGATTGAAAAAAATTAAAAATAATGGAGCTCGTGTGTTATTAGGCGAACAGGAGGGGTGTGCTCGTGTCAAACCACGCGAGCTCTATTTATTTTTATTTTTTTGTTCGTGTGAAAATACGCAAGCAGGTCTATTGTCACTACAACAAAAATATACTATTAGGACATTGAAGAAATGTCTCAATACGTAACATTTTGAGGCATTTGCACTTTTAAGGGCAAATAAAATATATGTCGCGTAGTTGTGTGTCGCAATAGGTCACGAGGCACTTATTATATGCCTCTTTAAATCTTGCTTTTCGAGACATTTATCGTTGTCCCAATAAGTATTTTGAGACACATATATATGTCCTGTAAATTATATTTTTGAGACACTTATGATAGTCTAGAGACATTTATGTATGCCACTACAACACGAAATTAAGACACTTATAAATGTCGTTTTAGATATTTATGCAGACATTATTTACTGTCTTATAAAATCTACTTAGGGACACTTATATCTAAACTAAATAAATTTTAAGGCACTAATAAGTATCCTGATACATATTACAGGGCATTTAAAATTCCTACTAAATGGACAAATTAGGTGTGATAACTAATTTTTGGGACACATACAATTGAGATCATATTTCAGTAATTACGCATTAAAAATACATATAAAACAAAATTTTAAATAAAAATTCTTATCATACTAACATTTACATTATTAACCAGTAACTAAAGTTATTAAACATTGAAATTTCAATAGCATTTGATTTAAAAAGTCAATAATACTACCACAATCAATCTCCCAAGACAAAAAACAACAAGATCAAATTAAGATTCTTGAACCATAAATCTAGGATATATCAATATTCTGTAAGTTTTTAGTAAAAAAAAGATCAGAGAACATCTGGAGTAAAATTCATTCTCCTTGACTAGAAAACAATGAAAAGTAGTGGCCATCCAATCATTTAATACTCTAACACGGCAGGATGATCATTGATTACGATTTCGCTCCCGCCACATTTAAATATTGCATCAATAGTACTCATCATCCTCCAAATCCAAAGCGACCTGTATGTACAAGAATATACATTAATTAGCAATAAGAAAACTAGTACGGTCATTGAGCAACATTTGCTACCTTTCTCATTCAAAAGAAAACAAAATAAAGGGTATTATTATTAACAAAACAAGGAAAGTGAAGACGGAGAGTAGCCATATTATTGTGTATAGTGGTCTGAAAATACTGAAAAAATAGTTGCAGCAGAATACAAGTGTTCTATAAAACATCCCTGGTGTATAAAATAAACTTATTTATGTATTTTTCTCTATTTAAATGATGTACAAACTAAGCATATGTTGCTACTGTGAGTTCTATAAATATTTAGTAAACATATTTTGCTACCGTGAGTTCTATAAATTCTAGCCTATTTTTTTTTTTGGGTTAATACTGCTAAAAGAGACGACTTTCAATAAATTTTCAAAATTGCAATTTGGTCCGTATCATAATTAAAAAAAATTAACTCCTTAAGCCCATTTAAATGCGAATAACAGTGAATCACAAACAAACATCGCCAACAATCTCAAATGAAGAAGAAAATTGCAATAATTAAACACTATCAAATTAAGAAAGACTGAGGAAAGAAAGAAACATACTAATGATAAGGGCCAAGCAACCGGTACTCTAATAGCATTTTCAGTTGTTTGAATATGATTATGGGGAAAAATCAATCTTGCATCTTTCTTCACTGGATATTGAATGACAACTTGGCAAAAATCAGGGCCCAAGTCTATACCATTTGCTCTAACGTTGTCCACTTTGTCCACGATACCAGTTGCAACTATTTCGTTCACATTTGCTATACTTTTCATAACAACATACGAGCCACCCTGTGAACCGAGTTTTTATATAATTAGTATGTAACAAATATATACAAATAACAAGTTATACGTTATGTTATTTCTTACCTTGATAAACACTGGAACAAAATTTGATCCTAATGAGCGTTGGTCGTTTGGAATGGACAACGGACTTTGAGCACATATAGGTTCTT